ATTATGGTGTTGGAGGAGAATATTGAAAGTACCATGGGCTGCCAAAAGAACAAACAGATCTGTGTTGGAAGAAGTACAGCCAGAGTGCTTCTTGGAGGCCAGGATGGTCAGACTTCATCTCTCATACTTGGGACATGCCGTCAGGAGGGACCAGTAGCTCTAGAAGGATATCATGTTTGGTAAGGTGGAGGGTCAGAGAAAAAGAGTAAGACCCCCAGAGAGATGGATTGGCTAAGTGGCAGCATCAATATGCTCAGGCGTGGTGACAATTGTGATGTTGGCTCAGGATAGGGCAGTGTTTCATTTGGTTGTGCACAGGGTTGCTATGAGTTGGTACTGACTCAATGCAACAACAACAAATCAAACCCTTTGTATTAATTTTGTTTAAATTTGAGTATTTCAAATCAGATTATAGACTGGCTTAGAATATTTGAAGATTGTCATTTACAGATAAAGATATAACATTTGAATAGAAATATTACTCATTTAGCATATTTGGCATCTGTGTGCATTATATGTATTTTTAGAAGGAAAGTGAACATGATAGTCCCTAGTCTCTGAAACCACCAGTCTACTGTGAGATTGACAGATAAACTGTTAACTAAAGCATGATAAATATTATGAAAAACTAGAAAAAAGGCATTATAATAAGGAGTCTTATCTAACTGGGAGGAAAGGCTGTTCAAAGGATCACAATTTAAAAAGCAAAGGCCTACCTATGTGGAATATTATATTTAGTCATAACTCTCACCTAAGAAATCGACCCAGTTACATATGTATCTCAGACTAAACTCAAGATTTTATATATTAAATACTCTAACAGTATATTAAAATATATTTTACAGTTTATGGATTTTTGAAGTTCAAAATATTAAAAACGAAACAGCATGGTTCAAATTTTAACTAAAGAGTCAGACCTAAAATGAGTCAGACCTAAAATGAGCCACACTCCCAGACCATCCTTTTTTCCATTAAACTTATGTAAGATTTAAGAGTCTAGATTTAAAACATGGTAAGCATTCTCCATTAGTTTAATAAACGGTTTCCTTTATGATGATGTAACTATATTATTCTCTATCTACACCCTTAAGAACCTTCAAGTAAACCTAAGATGAATTCTTAGTGAATACTGACTTGTCCTCCATTGATGACAGCATCAGGATTAACAACATTCCCAAGAGACTTGGACATCTTTTCTCCCTTTTCTCCAAGTGTAAATCCATGGACAACCACCGTCCTGAGAAGAAAAGTAACCACTTTAGAAATCTAAAATCCCAGTTATAATGATCTTTTAGAAGATAATTTCTAGTTTGAAAAAGCAACCATAGTTTGACACAAAATGGGTTTTTCTTGACAGATATGTGATTGATTTTCTTGAAAGTAATTCTCAGCAGATTAGTTATCGTAAGGGTTAAATAATAAGCTCTCTCCTATACACAGAAGAACTTTAGATGTTTTCATTCACTGAACAAATATTTGCAGAGCACTATTATGTACTGATTTATTTGATCATTAGAAAAGTATGCTTTATTATCTCAAAATTATCTTTAAAAATATAATTTGAGAAAACCAGCTGTTCTACTGGCTTTTAAAAGCATACTAGATACAAGGAATATGAACAGATAAATTGTTTTCATCTGGAGACAGCCAAAATCACAAGCGATTTAGGAACCGTTCTGATTATGAAGACTTTGCCCACACATTTTAACAAGACACAGCAAATATGTTTAACTAAATAAACCAAACAAAGCAAATCCACGGCCCTCAAGTCTATTAACTACTCATAGCAACCCAGTCCAGGGTTTTCAAGAATCTCAATCTTTATGGAAGCAGACAGTATCATTTTTCTTCCAGGAAGCAGTTAGTGGGTTTGAACTACCTACCGGCCATTCAACCTGCATCCTAAAGCCTAACTCAAAGCACACACCAAACACCGTTTATATTCAACTTCATGTTGTTAAGTGCCTTCAAATCAGTTCCAACTCAAAACCACCCTGTAAGTTTCCAAGGAGCGGCTGGTGCATTTGAACCATTTAGCTTGTTGTCAGCAGTCCAGTGCTTATCTAACAGCACCATACAGGGACTCCTTGTAAATAAAAAAGGTATCTATTCACAAAAGCAATGTTTCAGTTCATTAGTTATTTGTGGATATTACAAATCTAAGAGCACCTGAGCTGAGGCTGTTCACTCTGAACTTGGAATATACTCTCTGAAATTCCTCCTAGTGCTAACATATTTCAAGCTCCAGCTCCACATTGGGTGCCCAACTATTATAGAGTCAATGCTGACTTTTAGGAGCTCTGCTCTTATGATTTTTGCTCAGAGTGACAAGATCTCTCTATGCTGTTTCCCACTTTTGCTTTTTCATCTTAAAGTCTTATTCTTACTTCTCAGATAAGACTGTAAGCTAATGAAAGGAAATGTTTATCAATTGTATTACTCAGCATAATGCTTCATATATTGCCAAATTCTCTGCAAAAGTATGCTGACTGGTTTAGCTAAGTTAAAAATACTTACTTATAAGGTGCTTTCTTCCTTGTTGCTACACTTGTTAATAAAGAAGATTGAAACCAACCCCCAAGCTGGTCTTTTCCTTCCAAGTATAAATCTGCTCTTTGTTCAGTACCTCAAAACAAATACAAAAAATGCAAAAGTCTAAGTTAATTAAAATAGGGAAGTAAAAATGAGTATGTATCAAAAAGGATTCAAATTAAAAAGTAACCATGCTACTTATTGTGTCATGCAATTCTCAATGGCTACAAAGCATTAATGTGAGCTGCAACCTCAGTATTATTCTTATTCCAAACGAAGAACTCTGAGGTATAAACACCTAAAACATAGGTAACTGAAATTCTATTAAGTTAGGGACCGATTCAGAACATTTCCAGTTAAACCACTGTAAAAAAAAAAAAATTATAGTGTCTTTAATAATTTAACAAACACTTGCTCAGCATCTAATAGCTTTATATATATGTTAACTAATTTAATTCTCATGAGACTTTTAAAAGTCCACATTATCATTATCACCATTATACAGATAAGGAAGGAGGCAGAGTAGTGATTGCCCAAGGTTACACAGATAGTAAGCAGCAGAGTTGGCATCTGAAACTAAACAATTGTGCACCATAGATAATTCTCTTAACCAAGAGATCATGCTATCTGACTGTTTGATTTTCACAGCTAAACAAATTAGAAAAAACAATGTCTTATAAATGGAAAAGTATTATCTGCTAATTTGACAATGAAACAGTCAAAAAAAGGCAAAATGGCTTCGAGGTAACCTACTTAGACAAGCATGGGCGCTGTATCAGCATTTCATAGTGAGATAATGGCACCATTTGACAAGCACCAAATGTAACAATTATTTCAGCAAAAATCACCAAGGATGAAGAGCTAACTTAGAGAATGATAGTACACATTTGGAAACCATACATCAGACAAGTGTTTAATATCCAGAGTATATAAGGAACTCTTACAAGTCAGTAACAACATGACACACCAACTAAAAAATGGGCAAAGGACTTGGATAGACATTTCTCCAAAGAAGACAAAATAAAAATGGCCAATAAGCACATAAAAAGATGTTCAAGACTTTTATTCATTAAGAAAATGTTAATAAAAATCACAAAGAACCATCACCTAACATCCACTAGACTGGGTATCAAAAAAATGGAAGCTGACAAGTAATGGTTAAGAAGTGAAAAAGTGGACCTCACATGCACTGCTGATGGGAATACAAAATGGCAGTCACTATAGAAACAATCTGCAGATTCTCTAAATGTCAAACAGAGAATTATCATTGTTAGGCACCATCAGTCAGTTCCAACTCATAGCAACTCTATGTACAACAGAACAAAACACTATCCAGTCCTGAGCCATCCTCACAATTATTATGTCTGAGCCCATTGGTGCTGCCACTGTGTCAATCCACCTTGTTGTGGGAGGGGAGCAGGTTTTTTTTTTTTTTTTTTGCTGACTTTATACGTTTCCAAACATGATATCCTTCTCCAAGAACTAGTCCCTCACGTTTCCAAACATAATGTCCTTCTCCAAGGACTAGTCCCTCACGTTTCCAAACATGATGTCCTTCTCCAAGGACTGGTCCCTTCAAGCACAAAAGACAGGTCTTGTGATCCTCACTTCCCTGGAGCATTCTGGCTGTACTTCTTCCAAAACTAATTTGTTATTCTGGCAGTCCATGGCATCGTCAATATTCTTCTACAACCGTAACGCAAATACATCGATTCTTCTACAGTCTTCCTTATTCACTGTCCAACTTTTCATAAGCTTTTGAGAGTCACCTTAGTTCTCAAACTGACATCTTTGCTCTTTAACATTTTAAAGAGATCTTTTGCAGCTGATTTACCCAATGCAAAACATCGTTTGATTTCTTGACTGGGGCTTCCGTGAGCAGAGATTGTGGACCTAAGCAAAGTCAAGTCTTTGACAACTTCAAGTTTTCTCCATTTATCATGATGGTATTTATTGGTTCAGTTGTGAGGATTTTCATTTTCTTTACATTGAGGACCAATCCATAATGAAGGTTGTAGTCTTCGATCTTCATCAGTAAGTAGTTCAGGTCTTCACTTTCAACAAACATGGTTGTGACATCTGCTTATTGAAGGTTGTTAATGATTCTTCGTTCAATCCTGCCACATTCTTTATATAATCCAGCTCAGATTATTTGCTCAGCATACAGACTAAGTATAATAAAAGGATATAACCCTAATGTACACATACCATGATTTTAAACCATTCAGTATCCACTTGTTCTGTTCAAATGACTACCTTTTGGACTCTGTACAGGTTCTTCATGAGCACAATAAAGTGTTCCAAATAGCCGTTCTTTTAAATGTTATAGTTTGTTATGATGGACAAAGGTGAATGCCTTTGCATAGTCAATAAAACACAAGTAAACATCTTTCTAGTATTTTGTGCTTTCAGCCTAAATCCATCTGATGTCAGCTATGATATCCCTGATTCCACATCCCTCTTCTGAATCCAGCTTGAATTCTGGCAGCTCCCTGTTGATGTACTACTGCAATTGTTCTTATTTTAGGAAAATATTACTTGAATGTGATTATTAATACTATCTGATGATTTCTGCATTCCGTTGGCTCACCTTTCTTTGGAACGGGCACAAACATGGATCTCTTTCAATCAGTTGGCTACCATTCTTAACATAGACAAGTGAATACAACAACTGTTGCATCAGCTTGTTGAAACATTTCAATTTGTATTCCCCATCAATTCCTGGGGTCTCATTTTTCAACAAGTCTTCAGTGCTGCTTAGACTTCTTCCTTCAATGTCATCAGTTTTTGATCATACAGAACCTCTTGAAATGACTGAACATCAACCAATTCTTTTTGGTACAGTGATTTTGCACATAGATACCTTCAATATTCCAGTGCAAGACTTGAATTGTTTTCTTCAGTTCCTTCAGCTTCAGAAAAGCTGAGTGTTCTTCCCTTTTGGTTTCTAACTCCAGGTCTTTGGACATTTCATTATATTTGACTTTGTCTTCTTAAACTGCCTTTTGAAATCTTCTGTTCGGCTCTTTTATTTCATCATTTCTTCCAGTTGCTTTAGTTTCTCTGTTTAAAAAGTCTCTTCTGACATCCACTTTGGTCTTTTCATTTGTCCTGTCTATTTAATGATTGTTTGATTTCTTCATGTATAATGTTCTTGATGTCATTCTGTAACTCTTCTAATCTTGGGTCATTAGTGTACAATGCATCAAATCTATTCTTTGAGATGGTCTTTAAATTCAGGTTGGACATAATTTGGTTCACATGTTGTTGTTGTATGCATCAAGTCAGTTCCAACTCATAGCAACCCTTTATAGTTTCTGAGGAGCAGCTGGTAAGCTTGAGATGCTGACTTTGTGGTTCAAACTGACTTTGAAGTCTAGCACATTAACCCAGAGCACCACACCAGACTTATTTAATTTTCTTCAGTTTCAGCCTGAACTTACATATAAGCAATTGACTGTTGCAGTCAGCCTCTGACCTTGTTTTAGCTAATAATATTGAGCATCTTGATTGTCTCTTCCATAGATGTAGTAAATTTGATTCCTGTGTATTCCATCGGGTAAGGTACAGGTGTATAGTCATCTTTTATGTTGTTTATAAAAAGGTTATTTGCAATGAATAAGTCGCTGGTCTTACAAAATTTTATCATGTGATCTCCAGCACTGTTTCTACCACCAAAGCTATATTTTCCAACTATGGATCCTTCCCCCTTTGTTTCAAACTTACACATTCCAATCATCAGTAATTATCAATGCATCCTGATTGTATGTTTGATCAATACGAGCTTGAATAAATTGGCTTTAGTACTGTCTAGTTGGCTAGGACTCATAACCACCCTGTCTAGAGTTTCCAAGGAGCGATTGGTGGGTTTGAAATGCGAACCTTGCAGTTAGCAGTCCAGTGCTTATGCAACAGTGTCATACCATGACTCCAAAAATATGGAACACCATGAATTTACATGTCGTCCTTGCCTAGGGGCCATGCTAATCTTCTCTGTATCCTTCCAAATTTGGTATGCGTGCTGCCAAAGTTAGGAGAAGTCTTCAGTTTCATCATCACTGACTTTAGTGGCTAGTGAGTAAATCTGAATAGTAGTGAATTAACTGGTCTTCCTTATTTTTGTTGTTAAGTGCCACTGAGTCACTTCTGACTCATAGCAATCCTATACAGAGTGGGTTTCCAAGGAGCAGCTGGTGGGCTTGAACTGCTGCCTTTGTGGTTTGCAGTTCAGTGCTGAGTGACACCAGGACTCTGATCTTCCTTGTAGGCATGAGGATATTATCCTATCACAGGCAGCACTGTATTTCAAAATGATAGTGAAATATTCTTTTTGATGAAGAAGGTTATACCCAACATAGCAAACCAAATTAATTGTCAGACTCAAAATGACCAATACCAATCCATTACAGATCACTAATACCTAGGATATATCAATATTTATGGGTTCCATTTTATTTCTGACAATTTCCAATTCTTATTTATAAAAAAAAAAATGGAGACCGCCTGATTGCCCATCAGCAGCGGAATGGTTAATCTTTGGTATATACACATAATGGAATTCTGTAAAATGATGAATAATGATGAATCTGTGAAACACCTCACAATATGTTTGAACCCGGGGAACATTATGCTGAGTGATATTAGTCAATCACAAAAGGACAAGCATTATATAAGACCAATGTTGTAAAAAGTTTAAAAAGGTTTCTTGATAAAAGTAACAATCTATGATGGTTATGGTGGGGTGGGGGTGGTTGAGGGAAATTTATTTATGGGCTAGAGGATAGAAACATTTTAACATGGGTGGCAGGGAAGGCAATATGTAACAACAGCAAGGTCAGTAGAAAAAAGATGAATGTAGTGTGAGACACAGGCAGGAAAGCAATAGTTAAAAGTTAACATAGGTAAATGCTATTAACTGTTGGTGTGTGGAGGGGATTGCAACCATGTATCGAGGCAAAGTATATGATTTGTTGAATGTAAAACTGATGACCTGCTCTGTAAACCTTCACTCAAGTCACATTAAAATTATAAAAAAAAAAAAAAAGGAAGGAAAAAAAACAAAAACGGGGAAAAAAAAGTTTCTTTGTTTTTCATATACTGGAGGGAAAATATACGTGCTTATGTAAAGAGAATAAAATGTTATAGCTGCAACATCTGGAATGCTACATCCGTAGCTATATTTCTTCTACTAACTTGTAGTCCTTTATATGTAACCATTTAAAACTTTTACAGTACTCAAGTCTCATCCTACCTCAAAATATTAATTTTCTTCTGGTAGCAACATTTTGGAGTCCTGGTGTGGTGCTGTGGGTTAATGCGCTAGACTGCAAAGCTGTTTGAACTGCAAGGTCAGCAGTTCAAGCTCACCAGCAGCTCCTTGGAAACCCTATACAGAGTCGCTATAGGTCTGAACTGACTTAATGGCACTTTAACAGCAGCAACAATTCGGATAATGCAATATGCAATATGAGAAAAATAGAAAACTATAGAAATAATTTTCTAAAATGAGTAGATGATGAGTAGCAAGAGCCATCCCCTAAGCTCCCCTTTCATTTCTTTTAAAACTGCCTCTTTCTGGTCTAATGAAAAGATCACTAACAGTACCTACTACCATGGATTCCAACTAAAGTTTAGTCATCTTGGAAATCTTGGCAGAAACATATGTTTCTAAGCCTTGAGTGGCTCACCTATAACACAAGGGCTTACATCAGCTCTAAATCTTTGCCAGATCCAAAATTTTTAATTTTAAGAAAAGCTTGTTGCATAAAGACCTCTTTATACTGAGAGAACTCTGAAGACTACAAGGGGCTGGAATGAGACTACCTAGGTTCAAATCCTGACTGTGGCACTTACTGACTCCAATTTGACAAGTAGTTTACCTTTTCCAATGATTGCATTTCTTCTTCAATAAAATGGAAATAAGAAGTCTATCTTCCTTATAAGATTTACTCAAAAGATTAAAGACGTGAAATATACCAACGCTTAGGTGATAATAATGCCTAGTCTGACACTAACTAAGCTATGTGACCCTCTTCTAATCTGGCTCTGATTCAATCTGATTTCCTCTTCGGAAAAATGATGCGGTCAGATTATTTTGATGATTTTCAAACTTTGTTTCATAAAACTGGATTCCTTGGGGACTACCAAGTGAGCCAAGAGAATGAACTGATTAAGAGAAGTTAAATTCTATTTTTATGTACTGTGGTTCTAAATAAATTTTTATCCGGAAAAAAAATTTCAAAATCACTGGAGTAGGTAGGTGGTTCCTAAGGGTCCTTCTGGTCTAAAATGATTTTATTGGAAATCACCTTTCCAATAAAGCAAAAACATGAATAACTAATTAGAGAGCTCTTTTAAATAATATTTATATGTTTTTAAACTTCTACTATAGTCTATCTACCCAGAAGAAAGATGAGGTTTTCTGCTTCAACAAAGATATACAGCCTCAGAAGCCCTATAGAGGGTCACTATGAGTCAGAATGGCCTTGAAAGCACTTACCAACAACAATATAATTTACTAGAAAATTACCTGGAAGGACATGAGACCATGAAGTTCCACTATCAAACCAGATGTCTAAAATATCCTGACCTGGTACATACTCCAAGGCATCAGGACCACCAACCTAAAAAAGATAGCAGAGTAACATTTTTAATCACGCTTACATATTAAATGCCAAAAAACAGTCTTAAAATAAAATTCACTGTATATAAAAGTATCACTTAAAATGTACACATTTACCAATCTAAGTATGAACTGAATTTTATTTTCTTAAAATTAACTTCCAATTTATATTTTCAGATGTGTGATGCACTGTTAACTCAAATTCAGATCCTACAAAATCCTGCTGTATCAAAGGTAGACACTTGTTCTCTCTTAATTTCCAGTCTGTAAATCATTACATTTCAGTCACAACTGTCGTTGGCTCATAGTAAACCCATGTACAGTGGAATGAAACGTTGCCTGGTCCTTCTTCATGCCCCTAACTGGTTGCAGATCAGACCACCATGATCCATACATTTTCATTAGCTGACTGTTTTTTCACACGTCTTTCTTCCTACTTTGTATTTATCTGTAAGCTCTCCTGAAACTTGTTCGGCATCACATCAACATGCAAACCTCCACTGATGGCAGGGCAGACAGGCAGTGGCCCTAGGCGGTGGCTCTGTGTTGTGTGCACTGGATGGGTATCAGACCCAGTCTCCCACACAGAAAGCAAGAGTCCTACCATTGACAAACCAACACCTCCACAGTCACAATGACATCATCGGCTTAATCAACCTCATCAGTCAAAATCCATCTTGGCCCTCAATGAGACCACAAAGCCCATCACACTACACCACTATATTACATACTAAACTCATTTTCAAGCTGTACTGACATAATTTCTAGCTAATAAATTAATTCCCATTTTATGATAAAACCTTTTAAATCCCAAGGATTTCACATGTTGTTATTAAGTCATGCAATACAAAACAAAGGCTGCAATATAAATATAAGTACAAATTTACCTGAGATAAGACTTCTTTTGGAAGAAGCTGCTCAGGGGGAAGAGTCCACCAGATATCACTGCCATGTTGTTCTACCAGTTTAATAATATGCTCAATGGTCTGGCTGTTGGGGGAGTAAAGGCACAATTATGCAACTAGCTACTATAACTAATACAAAATAGCAATGGTACTTCCAACAAGGCTGTAGAAACTCTTAGAAGAAAACAAAAGGGCAAATTTTCATGGTCTTGGATTGGTCATGGATTCTTAGCATAAGCAACAAAAGAAAAATAAATAAACCGAATTTCACACAAAAATTTTTTTTTAAGTTTTGTGAATCGGAGGATAATGCCAAAAAAGTTAAACGGATAACATAAAGAATGAGAGGAAGTATTTACAAATCATACATCTGGTAAGGTTTTAATACTGAAAATACATAAAGAACCAAAATTCAACAAGACAAACCAATTAAAACTTGTCAAAGGATTTAAATATTGCTTAAAAAAAAGATAAACAAATGACTAATAAACACATGAAAGATGCTGAAAATCACTCAGTTACCAGGGAAATACAAGTCAAAACATAAATTATCACTTCGCACCCATTTGGCTGGCTGTGAAAGGGCAAAAAACTGGAACCCTTGTATATTGCTGTATTGCTGGAGTATAGAACAGTGGGGCTGGTGTGGAAACAGTCTGGCTGGAGTATAGAACAGTGTGGCTGGTGTGGAAACAGTTTGGCTATTCCTCAAAATGTAAAACAGAGTTACCATATGACCCAATCATTCCATCATGAGTTATAAACACAAAGGATTAAAAGCAGGAAGCTTTTATGCCAAACTTGTATGCCAATGTTCACAGCAGCATCATTCACAATAATCAAAAGGTCGAAACAACCCAAGTACATAAACAAACTATGGTATATATAATGAAGAATATCACTCAGCCATAAAGAAAACTGAAGCTCTGATACACACTACCAACACAAAGGAACCTTGAAAACACCATGCTAAAGTGAAACAAGTCAGAAACAAAATACAAAAATTATACGACAACTTAAATATCTTGACTAGACAAATTCATGGAGACAGAAAGAAGATCAAAAGGTTACCAGATGATGACAGGGATGAGGAGTTATTGTTTAATGAGTACAAAGTTTCTCTCTGGGGTGAAGAAAAAGTGTTGGAAATAGTGGTGATAGAGGTATAAAGATTTATAGTGTAATTAATGATACAGAATTCCATACTTAAAAATTATTAAGGTAACACATTTTATGGTTTACACACAAGGTTAAGTCAAAACATAATACTACCATGGTTTGAGTCCATGCATGCAGATAGGTTTATTCCAAACAAAACACATTCAAATGTCTCTACAGTCAGTGGATGGCTACAGACAGTTCTCTTAGTAATACACTTTTTCTCATCTATTTCAGATGCCTTAAAAAAAGTTCCAAACAAAACAATGGATTCTCCCAGGAGATATCAAGGCAAGTGGTCGGTCGCCTCAGAGCAAACCCCTTTCCAAGACTCAGACTCTATGGAAATACACGAGCAGACATGCGCTCTGACTGGTGACCACGTTGGTCACTGATAAGGGGAAGTGAGGGAAAAACAGCAATGAAGCTGTCAGCTAAAACCTACAACTTTCAAAGACTCCTGTAAACCTGGGTGACGACCTGGTTGGCCAACAGTATGGCAAGACCTGGGGACTCCTGGGCCCAAAATCAGTGACATAGCCACAGAGGACTAGAGTGGAAAGTGAAGCGTCCAACTGATGAGAGGGCATATGCACAAGAACACCCACAGTTGCAGATAATACCCACTTGGCCTGGCTTCAATGGCTAAATGACCAGAACTCAACTCGAAGAACAAAGAGGGAAAAGTAATCTGATACAATTTGATGAACTTGACCTACACCTATGGATGCAGTAGCTCACAAGAAGGAACAAATCTTTAGAGCAAGGATCATTCCCCACCCCACCCCCATACACAGGGTAGACAGGGATAGGCAACTTGGACACTGACTACCCAAAATTGGTGGAGAGGGGCTGGAGGGGTTTCAAAGGCAAGAACTGACTGGCTTACAAGCTTTCAAGACGGAGCCTAGATCCAGAGGGCATGGAACAAGGTAGAATCTCCACTAAGTAGTAGCCAATCTGTCTGGGTGGGACTGATGAAAGGAGATAGGGATAGCACTCATGTAGTACAATAGTTAAAAATTGCTATTGGGACTGACTGTGGGGGTTGGAAATGTAAAGGTAGACGTTTTGTAGCAAAAGGAGGGGAATGGCTGACTTTGCAGTCTAGGAGCAGAGGTCCCTGGGACCATCAAGGGAGAAGAGCAGAGAGCAGGACCCTAACCAGAGAAGCAGTGATGCCAGAGATGGAGGCAGAGACAATGATGTGGAGAGATGGAGCAGCTGGGGACTTTAGATTCAGAGAGGGAGAGGGGCTGTGTGCTGACGACTGAGGGGTAAGGCTTGCAGGATATATACCCTTTGGTTGGTTGATGATGCATGGAGAGGATTGTAACCATGGCAACGAAATGATATATGACACGAATGTAAAGCTAATGTTCTCCCATGTAAACTATCACATAATTCACAATAAAACATTTAAACAAACAAACAAACAATGGATTCTGGGTGAGTTAAATTCAAGTCAGAGAGGTCAGCTCAAATAGAGCGACTGCTTTTTGGGATTCCAAAGGTTACTGTTTATAGATTTTCTCTAAGAACAAAGGATGATACTGGGGCTTATTAGGAAGCAGTTTTAAGAAAACAGAAAACTGCATTGCTGAGAAAAAGACCAAAGAAGTTGCACCAAGGAATGGCTACCCTCATTCTTCAGGGGTAGCAAGAGCTGTCCCATGAGAATATTGTTGGGAAACGTCACTCTGTCCACCCTCTAGCCCTTATCTTGCTGTTTTAGACTTTTTTTTTTGGTTTTCCAAACTCAGAGAAACATTTCATTTGAGTCCTCAGAGATGCGCAAACTGTCATTTCGATGTGGTGTAAATGGAAGAACACAGAATTATTCAGGGAAGGGCTGATTAGAGAGATAGAAACACTACCTTAAGAAGTGCATAGACCATGATGGCGGATATTTTTTGTTATTTTGTTTAATAAAGGTTTCTATGATTTCAAAAGGATACTTTTTGATTTACCTTTATTTACAGATAGATAGATCTAAGATAGATACGCAAAACCACCGTTTTTAAAAAGAGAGAGATCTATACTTATTTCCTATCTGCAGCCTTGACCTTTCCCTCCAAACTTTAGTGGAGTAGCTTCAATTACCTGCTTGTCTGGCTGTTGTTATCTCTGCTTCAATACTAAATAAATAAATAATTAAATAATACATACCCCTTAAAAAGGTACTTAATTATCTCTCCCCTCCCCATCTCAATTTCTGTTCAAATTAAACCAACACATTTTGTCAGCTCAGCTTTGAAATATTACTTAAATTGTCCCTTTAACTCACTGACAATTTGTTAGTCTAAACTGACCAACTACCTTAATACAAACTTGAAGTGATAGTACGACTTTCTCCCTGTTCTCATTTCTTTAATTTGCATTTTAGGAATAACAAAGTTGCATTCCTAAAACTGCCTTTATTATACCAACCCTCTGCTCAAAAATATTCAATGGCCTCCTCACTGCTTACAGGACTAAGTCTAAATCCATGTGCATAAGAAGCAATGTCACACAATGGAGAGCTGGGCTTAGATGCTGACTCGGCTACTTTCTGTCTAAATGACCATGCACAAGTGTCAAAATTTCTCTGGGTCTTAGCTGTCCATCTATTAAGTAGAATGATATAATTCATTCACACAAAAACCACTTACTGAGCACATTCAATAAATATCTTAAATCACTATTCTAGGCAATGGAGATATAATATATGACAAGACAAACAAGAATACTGCCTGAAAATAACTTACATTTTCATGCTACTTCTCTCACAACTGTTGAACACTTAATGAGATTATATGTGTAAAACTTAGTACAGTGTCTAAAACACAATACTGAAAAAACAAAAACCCACTAGTACACTACCAAGTTGATTCCAACTCATAGCGACTCTGCTGGGTGTTTCCAAAATGAAAATGAAAATCTTTACAGGAACAGACAGCCTTATCTTTCTCCCATGGAGTGAATGGGTCGGTCTGAACTGCTGACCTTATGAGGTTAGCAGTCCAGTGCTTATCCTACAGCGTCTCCAGGGCTCCTTAATACACAACAGAAGTTCAATAAATGTAAATCATATGAATACTAACATTGGTCATATTCTGTTGGGAAGATATAGTTATAAATGATTTTCAAATTAAACTTAGGGAAAATTTACATTGAAGTTTCTCACAAGAATAACATGCTTTTGATTTATTACACTATTTATCTGAACTCTGTTCAGATTACAACTTCTTCCAGTTGTCTTTCCATTAAGGAGCAGTTTATACAATGGTCAAGAGCATGGACCCTGGAGCTAGACCAGCTATGGTTGAATTCTTGGCTCTACTACTTAGCAATGTGACCATGAACAAGCACTTGGAAGCTCCGCACCTCAATTTTCTCATCTGCAAAACGTAGACAACAGTATCCCTCAAAGAGTTAACAAACAATTAATTAAGCTAAGATATATTAAACGCCTATTAGAACAATACCTGGCACATACCAATTTTTATTACTTAAACATTAGCTATAAAATTAGATGGAGTTAGTTTTGTGTTAACGAATTACAAAAGCATACATCCGTATCAACATTTTAAAATTAAAATACACATGCTAAAGCCAAGATTGAACTGTCTACTTTGCTATCATACTCGATTAATTCACATTATTGTTGTTGTTGTGAAGTACTGTGGCTTCGGTTCTAACTCATAAACTCTGCACAGGGTTCCCGAGGCTGTAAACTTTACGGGAGCACAACGTCTCATCTTTCTCCCGCGTAACCACTACGCTACCAGAGCTCCTTTGATTCACATTAACAAAGAATTAATTGCAGGTTCATGAGAGCCCCATGGAATTGTGGTGTGCCATCGAGTCGCTTCCAACTCACAGCTACCCAGCATAGAGGGTTTCCGAAGAACGACTGATGTGTTTGCAGTTTGGTTAGCAATCTAG